CGCGAGGGGAGTGCTGACCGCCTTGGGTCTCCCCGCGCTGCCGCGTCCTGAGAGGCCTGCTGACCCGACCCCGCTCCCTGCCTGTGATTTTTGGGGAGGAGGAGTTTGGTTTGTTTGTTTGTTTGTTTTGGTACCGGGATCGAACTCGGGTCTTTGCGCTTGCAAGGCAGGCCACCAAACCACTGAGCTAAATCCCCGGCCCTGGAGTTTGGTTTTTGAGGCAGGGTCTCGCTGTGTAGTTCAGGTTGGTCTTGAACTCACTGTGTACTCAGGCTGGTCTCCAGTTCTTGGTGATCCTCCTGCCTCAGCCTCGGAGTGCTGGGATCACCGGCGTGCGCCACCATGCCCGGCTGTTTTGTTGTGTGCGTATTCCCAGTACACATGATCAGGTTAGTTAGTGGTACTGCGCAGGATACGTCTTGGTTCTTTATCTCTTCCCTCTCCCCTTCCTCCTACTTTCTCCAACTCTTGGTCCCCTTCCCACTGGCAAAAAGCTATTTTTATTGTTTTTTTCCCCCTTTAATCCTTTTTTCCCATCCCATTTCTTCCCCTCCTTTACCCCGTTTCTTGTTCCTCCCATCCATTTAAAAAAGATCTCCCTACTTCCTATAAGTCTGCTATTTTCTGTCCTCCCCTCATATATACTGTATATTGAGGTGTTTTGTTTTGGTTTTGGTTTTTTTGAGACAGGGTCTCACTATGTCGTTGAGACTGACCTGGAACTCGCTGTGTAGCCCAGGCTGGTCTCGAACTCACAGCGATCCTCCTGACTCAGTTTCCCGAGTGCTGCGATTACAGTTGAGTTTCTTATATAAGAGAAACCATGTGTTTCTGGGGCTTGAACTCAGGACCTTGCGATTGCAAGGCAGGAAGCGAAATCTTTGAGCTAAATCCCCTGCTTGAAACCATGTGATATTTAAGCTTGTGTGTCTGATTATTTCACTTAACATTATGGTCTCAAGGTGCATCCATTTGCCTACCAGTATCTCAAGTTTATCCTCCTTTATGGCAGGGAAGTGCTCCATTGTGTGTAAGTACTACACTTCTTTATTCATCTGTTGAGCAAGAAAAAGAAAAGATGAAGTAGGAAGCTGGCCTTCCCTCTCTGACAACCCTTCCTTGGACAAAGAAAAAGATCAGAAGAAGGGGTTGGAGGCTATATTTGAAAAAAATAGAGAATGCAAATTGTTTAATTACAAAAAGCAACTATTAGAATATTTTTAAGAGCCAAGCATGGTGGTGCAGGCCTATAATGTGAGCATTTGAGAGGCTGAGGCAAGAGGATCACCACAAAATTCAAGGCCAGCCTGGGCTATATAGCAAGACCTTATCGAAAACTTTCTTTTAAGGGAATGCTGTTATGATCGTTCTGTGATATATTTCTGAAGCCTTTGAACTTTAAAATTTCTCCTGATTAAAAAGCCAGGCGTGGTGGCGCACACCTGTAATCCCAGCACTCGGGAGGCTGAGGCAGGAGGATCGCTGTGAGTTTGAGACCAGCCTGGGCAACATAGTGAGTTCCAGGTCAGTCTCAACTACATAGCGAGACCCTGTCTCAAAAAACCAAAACATGGGCGGGGGATTTAACTCAGCAGTTCGGTGGCCTGCCTTGCAAGTGCAAGGACCCGAGTTCAATCCCCGGTACCAAAAAAAACTCCCAGAGAAACCAAAAACAAAAAAAAATTTTTTTTTTCCTCCTGATTAAAGATGGTATTTAAACTACTGTTTTTATAAATCATTTAAAATGACTTATGTTTTAAAATTTATGTGTTTAATTTAAACAGGACAGAAAGAAATGGATTTGTCAACGGTTCGTGTTGAAGAAGTACGAAATGTCCTTAATGCCATGCAGAAAATCTTAGAGTGCCCAATCTGGTAAGTCAACAAACGAATTTATTAATTTAAATTCTTCCTTATGTAATTGTTTCCTAAGCAAATGATTAGACTTGACCTGGCATAGGGAATAGAAAAAAAAATAAACACTAAGCTACATCCCCAGCAGGGCTGGGGGTGCTGACACATGGGTATATCTTCAGAGCCTAACCCAATCACAAATGGAACCTTTCTGATACCCAAAAAGGCTTCTGTGTGTGTGTGTGTGTGTGTGTGTGTGTGTGTGTGTGTGTTCAGGAAGGTGTTTTGTTTTGTTTTGTTTTTGAGACAGGGTCTCACTATGTAGTTGAGACTGACCTGGAACTCACTATGTAGTCCAGGCTGGTCTTCAACTCACAGGGATCCTCTTGCCTCACACTTCCTAGTGCTGGGATTACAGGTGTGCACCACCACGCCCGGCTCTAAGTGTTTTTTTTTTTTTTTTTTTTTTT